GTGTGTGTGTGTTATGTGTTGTGTGTGTTGTGTGTGTTGTGTGTGTTGTGTGTGTGGTGCGTGGTGTGTGTGGTGTGTTGTGTGTTGTGTGTGTTGTGTGTTGTGTGTGTTGTGTTGTGTGTGTTGTGTGTGGTGTGTGTTGTGTGTGTTGTGTGTGTGTTGTGTGTTGTGTGTTGTGTGTGTTGTGTGCGTGTTGTGTGTTGTGTGTGTTGTGTGTGGTGTGTGTGGTGTGTGTGGTGTGTGTGGTGTGTGTGGTGTGTGTGGTGTGTGGTGTTTGTGTGTGTGTGTGTCTGTGTGTCTGTGTGTAAGTGTGTAAGTGTGTAAAGGTGTAATTGTGTAAATGTGTAAGAGTGTAAATGTGTAAATGTGTAAGTGCGTAAGTGTGTACGTGTGTGCGTGGTGTGTGCGTGGTGTGTGCGTGGTGCGTGCGTGTGTGCGTGTGTGCGTGTGTGCGTGTGTGCGCGTGTGCGCGTGTGCGCGTGTGCGTGTGTAAGTGTGAAAGTGTGTGCGTGTGTAAGTGTGTAAGTGCGTAAGTGTGCAAGTGTGTAAGTGTTTAAGTGTGTAAGTGTGTAAGTGTGTAAGTGTGTAAATGTGTAAGTGTGTAAGTGCGTGCGTGTGTGCGTGTGTGCGTGGTGTGTGCGTGTGTGCGTGTGTGCGTGTGTAAGTGTGTCAGTGTGTAAGTGCGTAAGTGTGTAAGTGTGTAAGTGTGTAAGTGTGTAAGTGTGTAAGTGTGTAAGTGTGTAAGTGTGTAAGTGCGTAAGCGTGCGCGGTGTGTGCGTGGTGTGTGCGTGGTGCGTGCGCGTGTGCGTGTGCGCGTGTGTGCGTGTGTGCGCGTGTGCGCGCGTGCGTGTGTAAGTGTGTAAGTGTATGCGCGTGTGCGTGTTTAAGTGTGTAAGTGTGTATGTGTGTGAGCGTGTAAGCGTGTAAGCGTGTAAATGTGTAAGTGTGTATGTGTGTAAGTGTGTGTGTGTGTGTGTTGTGTGTGTTGTGTGTTGTGCGTTGTGTGTTGTGTGTTGTGTTGTGTTGTGTTGCGTTGTGTTGTGCGTTGTGCGTGTGCGTGCGTCTCTGCGCCTGCGCGCGCTTACGCGTTCGTCGCCTTTGGCTCAAGCCCTTCGGCTCGAGCCATTCTGGCTCGAGGCTCGAGGTCCGCCGAACAGGCCGCGCCCGCAGGGCAGGGGTCGGCCCTGGACGCGCGCGCCTGCAGCGGTGGGCGCTGGGGCGGGGGGCGACTCTCTAAGCGTTCCCCCCCTTCAAGCGCCCGCCTCCGAGCCGCGCCCTCGGCCCCCTGCGGGCCGGCAGGGGCGGACCTGCATCAGCGGCGGCGCCTCGCCGCCGCGCGGGGGCTGGGCCCCCTGGGCTGCTTTGCGGCGGTGCCGGCGACGCCGCTGCCGGGGCGCGGGCCGCGCTGATGGCTGGCGTTGCGCTGCGGCGGCCAAGGCTGCAGCTGCCGCCGCCGGCGGGCCGCTGGGCCTCCGCCCGCGGCCTGCCTCGAGGCGCCACGGCGGCCTCCGCTGCCGGCGGCGGCGGTGGCTGGCGGCGGCGGCCCCCTGCCCCCTGGCGCGCTCGCCGCGGCCAGCGCCGCCGCTGCCGCCGCGGCCGCCTCGCGCGGGCCGCGGGCGCAGCCGCCCTGGCGGGCGTCGCGGCCGCCTCGGCCCTGGCCGCCCTGGCTGCCGCCGCCGCTGCTGCTGCCCCCCGCCCACGCTGCCCGGGCTTCGCCGGCCGCGGCGGCGCTGGCGTCGCCGCTAGCACCGCCCGCGCCTCCAGGGCGCCGCGTGCGCCGCGTGCGCCGCCAGCCCCGCCGGCGCCGCCTGCGCCGCGGGCGCCACCGGCGCCGCGGCCGCCGCCTGCGCCGCAGGCTGCAGCGCCGGAGGCAGCAGGTGAGAGGGTGACGCCGCGGGCGCCGCCGGCGCTGCTCAGCGGGGGGCGCCGACGCCCGCGCCCTCGACAGCTCTGCCGAGAGCATCGACGCCAGCCTGGATCACAGCCGCCGTCATCCTCGCCAGCGCAGCCGAGAGCTTCGATGACCGCATCATCGTCGGCACTTCCTGGATCGTGGATGCCGCCATCGTCGCCTGCGCATGCTTCGATGACAGCGCCCTCGTCGACGCATCCTGGATCGCCGACGTCATCGCGCCATCATCCAAGCGGGCGCGCCCGCTTCGCAACGGCCTAGCCCGCCCGCGCCATCGCCCCCGCCCGTTGCGGGGCCGCCCGCGCAGGGGCGGGGAATCGCCGGCGCTGCTGCGACGGGGCCGGGGCTGGCTGCTCTCCACTGCTCGGGGGCCGCCCCGCGCAGGGGGGGGGGCGATCTCCTGCTCATGGCCTCGGTCTCCGCCGCTGCGGCGCCGCCCCCCCCGAGCGCTCTCCGCGGCCCCGGCGGTGCCGGGCGCCCCCTCGTCAGCGCTGCCTAGGACATTGGCGCCAGCGTCCTCGCAGGCCCCCAGCCTACTTTCGCCTTGGTCGCCAGAAAAATTTCGAGCGCCAGAAAAGCAAAACAAATCAAGGTTTTCACGCGTCGGGCCCTGGGAGAAACTCGCCCGACACTGTTTCGACAGTTTTCCGGGCGCTCGAAATTATTTCCCGGGCGTGGTCCTTGAATGCGACGGGGGCGACATAATCGCAGGAACCGTCTGGGTCGCTGGCGCCGCCAACCCCGCCAACGCGGCCGAGCGCGTCGGCGCTGGCGCCCTCGTCAGCACAGCCTGGATCGCTGAGGCTGGCGCCCTCGCCAGCGCCATCGAGAGCTTCGACGCCTGCATCCTCGCCGCCGCTTCTGCATGGGGCCGCCCACGCCGTCATCCTCGTCGGCGCAGTCGGGGTCCTCGAGGCCGACGCCCACCTCGGCGCCGCCTGGATCACTGGCGCCATCGCCCTCGCCAGCGCGGCCGCGAACCTCGTCGGCGCCCTCTAGCACGATCGTCGCCAACGCAGCCGGCAACGCCCGGGGCTTCGACGCCGTCAAACTTGCATTCGCACCCGGAGCTTCGATGCCATTATGCTCGCCAGCGCAGCTGACGACGTCGTCGCCAGTCTCCTAATCAGCGCAGCTTGGGGTCGCGGGGTCGCCCCGCTCTGCAGCGACCTCCCCCAGCGCCCCCTTGACGGGATTCGAGCTGCTCGAAGAACCGCTCCCCCTCGATGCGGGGTCGCCCCGTGCTGGGGAGATCGATCCCTCTAGTGCTCTCTCCCTTGAGGTCTTTCCCGCGAACCCGACTCCTTGAATCGGCAGCGGCCCCCCTGCGGTGCCCGCGACGCGGGCCGCTGCACCCTTGGACGGGCTCGGAGCTACTGCGCTTTTGCACTTTCCCGCGGCGGGGCTGCCACGCACGAGCGACCGCGAGCGGCATGACTGGCTCGGCGTCGACGCTCACACCATCGATCCGTTGGCTCGCGAGGAGGGTCGCCTTCCAGCCGCAGCCACGGCGTGCCCTTTTCCAGCCCCGTCCCCAGCTCTCCCGCGGTGGCACGACTCCTGCCCTCTCGAGCTGAGTGATGACGTCTGCGTTCCCGCCTTCTTCGCTGAACACGCAAGAATTTGTCCGCACCTGGCGGCGGGCGGACTCACTCCCGCGCTGGGGCTGGTTTTGGAGCTGTCGGCGGATGTTCTGCGCAGGTGCGGAGACGAGGACAGGCCGCTGATGAGCTTTCGTCGGCGGCCTGCTGCCGTCGGGCGTCTCGCCCCCGCCAAGCCCTAAGGACTTCGCATTCGGCGGCCGTCATCAGGGGGGCTGCCGGCGAGCAGCGCGGCAATGCTGGTGATGGTCACCGTTCCAGGAGGGCCCCACCGCATGGCGGGCTTCGCTACAACGCCTAAACTTCGAGGCCACGGCCACACGACCGTGGGAAACTTGTGGGCATGGCCCCGCGGTGGCGGTGGCGCCCAAATGATAAGCTTGCGCGCACACCGTCTCGGCCTGCACCCCGTCCTGCTGGCGGCCCAAACGCTGCGCTGCCCGCGTCCCCCCGCCGGCACAGAGCGGCACGCGGCGCCTGCTCCGGGGAGCTCCACGCGGTCGGCCATCCGCCGCCGGCAGATGGGCCCCGAGGCGCGGCCGCCCAGCGCCCCGCGTGGCACCGCGGCCACCTGGCAGACATGGGCCGCAGCACAGAGAGGTAGAAGAGCGCCCGATCGAGCAGTATCGGGGTGCATCCGAGGATCCACCACATCATCCCATCGCGGCCGCCTCTCGGCCGCCCCCGTCGCCGCACCTTCGCCGCCTCCCGGCCGCTCTCCCCCCGTCCGCCTCCTAGCCGCTGACTGGTCACCACCGGCCGCCTCGCCCCTCGTCCTCCCCGAGGCGCCCTCCGCATCCTCACACCGCCCCCGAGCAGAAACGGGCTGCATGCCGCGAATGGCCTGGCAGAGAGGTCGAGAGGTCAGGGCCCTTGAGCCGAGCGGCTGCGGAGGCAGAGGGCCCCAGGATGCGGCAGAGGAGCTCAGAGAGGCCATCGCAGAAGGCTGTAGCATGAGGTCCCGCCGGTCCACTCAAACGGTTGAAGACCTCCGCCCCCTCCAAGCCCCTACCCCCTCACACTCCGCCGCCTCCCTCCCTCATGCGCCCTCCTCGACCGTTCCTCCCTCATGCGCCTCCCTCCCTACCTCCTCACTTCATCCTCCTCCTCTTTTCCCTTTTCCTCCTCCTCCTCCTCTTTCTTCGCCCCCTCGCTGATCCTCTTCATCCCTCCCCCTCCTCCTCCAGTTCCACCATCTTTCCCCTTACAGCTCTCCACCCCCCCTTTGTTCTCCCTCCTCCCATCACATTATTCCTCATAATTCCTCTCCCTCCTCCAGCCCCTCTCTCCTCTCTGTCCTCTACAGCCTTCATTCACCCTCCTCCTCCTCCTCCTCCTCCTCCTCCTCTTCCTCCCTCGCTTCCCCCCTCCCTCCCCCCCTCCTCCTACTCACCATTATCATCCCTCCTCTTCACCTCCGTTTATAGGACGAGGAGCCGGACGCTCCCTGTGTCGTCGCCCGCAGCCCACCGGACGAAGGGGGGTGCCTGCCGCACGCGCCCGACTGCCGCACCGTCATGCCGGGCAGCTGGGGGAAGAAGTCGTTCATGAGCTCTTCAAGCGTGACGCCGGACGCGTTGGCTTCGGGAAGGGGAGGAGGAGGGGAGAGGAGTGAGGAGGGGGATGGAGGAGGGAGGAACTTGGGGGGGGGAACGAGGAGGAAAGAGGAAGAAAAGAGGAGGGGGAGCTTCCCCAGCTTGGCGGCGGACGCGACGGATTCCGGGGAGGGGGGGGGAGGGGAGGGTTGCAGCAGACGTCTCCAGCGTGAAGTGCTCAGCATCTTCATTGGGCTGCAAGTCATGATTGCCTGGGACTGGTGGGTTTCATTGCGTGCCCTCTCACACCACGCAGAGGGTCAGTATGGTGAGTTACGCTCCAGATTAACTATTCTGTGAGCAGGGGTCTAAGAGGTCACTGGAAGGCCACATGAGGAGCACTACGTTATGCCCCCCAACAAATTCCTGGGGACCCACGTGTTAGCAGCAGCACCGGCATGTACATCATGCTTCCTCATTTTCCTCTCATGGCCGTCTTGTCCAATCTAAAGTCAGAGTCCCTGTATGAGACGCAGCCCCTCACATCCGCGAAACTCGGGTCTGGGTCCGTACCTCTGCGGATGGTGTTCACCGGCACGTCGCCAATGACAGCAATCCTTGTAGGTGGTCCACGGGCGCGCGCATCTACAGCAGCAGGTCACTAGTAGTCATATACGAGGGAGGCAGCAAGGGAGGAGGGAAGGGGAGGGAGGAGACGGACGAGGAGATGGTTGAGGAGCTTTCTCAACGTGACGGCGCAGCAAGGGAAGGGAGGGAGGGAGGAGCGAGGCGAGAGCAGTTTTTACGAGGCAGAGGGATGAGGCAGAGGAAGGGCTTCCCAGCGTGACGGCGAACGCATCGGCATGGGGGAGGAGGAGAAGGGAGAGGAGCGAGGGAGGTGGAAGCCGAAATATTCGGCGTTTGTGCTACGGTTTTCGGGGAGGAAGAGCAAGAGCATGGGATGGAGGAGGAGGAGGAGGAGGACGACGACGGCGACATGTTTGCTGGAGAGTCTGGGGCGTTCTAAACGCATCCTCTGGGAGGAGACGGGAAGAGCGGGTGTAAGTCTGAGAAGGAGGAGCAGGAGGAGGATGGTAGAGCGGAAGGGGAGGAGGGGGTCTCCCTTACAGTACGCAGCTACCCAGCTCCACCGCTTTGCCCTCATAATCTTATGTGGCGTGCCAAGTCCGCTCAGTCTGCCTTGTCCGGGACACCAGCAAGGGCAATGTTGCAGCCCCATTTGCATCCACTCGGGCCTTCTTCCTCCATCAGGCTGACGTTGTCCTCCGCCAGTTCGCTCACCAAGGTCGCACTAGCTTGCCATGGTCGGCCTGGGAATGCGCTACATGGCCGTGCAGTTCCTCCCCTTCTCCCCTTCATGGACTCTTTCCTGTTTTACCCTCTGGTGGGTGGTCACGCGGAACCTGAAGCGAGCTCAGATTAGCAAGCTGAGGGCAGGCTGAAAGGCACATGAAAGGCAAGCTGAAGGCAGGCTGAAGGCAAGCTGAAGGCAAGCTGAAGGCAGGCAGGCTGAAGCGGACGCAGGTTCCAGGCAGTTTCAAACAGGGCAACGGCATGCTCCAACACAAACCAAATGGAAGCAAACATCTACCCAACAATTCAAGCTAAAGGCAAGCCAGCATGAATTCGCATGTTCCAGCGGGGACACAAGCATCCTCAAGAAACTGAGGGACCATCTGCAAGGTACAGCTGTCAAGAAGATGTCCTCAAGGACTCCTGGCCACGAGGCACTGAGGTCACTGGCCCTCCTGCAAGACGCTGCCCCTACTGCCACCACTTGAGAGTTCCAAGGGGCTCATGAAATAGGTATTGGTCTTTCGTTCAGAACTGGAAAATCTACGTGCAGAATCAACGAGTACACTTCCTCCTGGTCGCGATCAATGTTGCCACCCCGTCGGCTCAATGTCTGGCTGTCGGCATGGTGAAACCAGCACGTGATATTCATCACTGGCACGCGATCTGCTACCCTCTCCCTCTTGTCCTCGACTGAAAATATTTCCCCTCCTCTTCATGCTCCTTCGTCTCCACCTCCATCTCGTCCGCATCCTCTGCCTTCTGCTAATTCGCTGCCTGTTGCCAAAATTGGGCTTCCCAATCGGAGAGGAACGAAACGGTCGACTTAGCAGGATGACTGTCGACGTCGAATCGAACAAGCTTCCACTTACCACTGCAGCAGGGGGGGCTAGCCAGCACCTGTACTGACTAACTGCATCCAAACTGCGGGCAATCATGCGTCCATCTGAAGACGACAGAATCGGAATATCCGTCACATCTCGATCGGCATACAAAACACTACAACCAGCCACGACAACGACGCTGCAATATCCACACGCCATGGGTGCAATCGTCCATCGCCTCCCAAAGGAAAGGGCTTACTCCTCATGGGCCACGATGCCCGCACGTAACGGGACTGCCCCTTGCACGCCGAGGCGTGGTAGAATGCCAAATGCTTTCTGGCAAGGCTGTGTTTCGAGTCGGGGATCGGCTGCAGAATGGATGGACCCCTAAACTTGCTTCCCCCTTAGAATCTACGAGACAGATATCCCTCTTTCCCATGGCTTCGAGGAAAGTTTTGGGTACGTGAATCAATTCTGCAGTCGATGCACCCCTCGACTTTCGAAGCCCTCGACATGGCCCCCGCCCCGCCCTGCCCTGCTCGGGCGCATGCAGCGCCCCCCCCCCCCCCTGCCCGGCGGGCTCCGAGGGGCCGCCCTCCCGCGTCGCCGGGGCTCTCGAGGGGGCCCTCCTCGGCTCGGCAGCCGCCGCGGGGGGCACCCGACGTGCTCCCCGAGGCCCATCCCACGAGGCGCCAGGCGAGAGGCACGAGGCACGAGGGCGAAGGCCACGGAGTCACGAGACACGAGGTCCCACGAGGCCCCACGAAGCGCCGAGGAGCCTTCCGAGACAGGACAGGGAAGGCCACGACGCCCCACGAAGGGGGCCAGAGCGACCTCACCACCTGAAGGACTGTTTGCTTCCGGATTTTGCGCTTTCCAGCAGTCCTGGCCCGAGATGTCTCCACGAGAACCTCGGAGGAGCCGAAGAGAGTCCACACTGGCCCCATCAGGCTCCCAAGATGCCCCCCAGACAGCGGTCGACCACCCCAAGAAGGCGCCCAAACGGCCCCAGAGAGCTAGAAATCAGCACAAGAAGGTCACAAAATACCTCAAGAGGGCCCAACGAGGCTGTCAAAACAGCCGTTTCCACAGACGGCCAAGAGAAGCCCAAGAAGGCCCTAAGACGGCACTAGAGGGCCTCAAGACGGGACAAGAGGGTCCCAATGTGGCCCCAAGATGGCCCCGCATGAGCCCAGGAGAGCCCTAAGAAGGTCCTAGTGGGCCCCCAAGAGGGCCCCTCAAAGAACATGTTCTAGAAAAGTCACACGTTACGACCTGGGCGTCCGACAACGTTGAGATAAGCATTAAAAGTGACAAAGACGACGAAAAGAGACACACCAACACGACATGGAAAAACATATCACATGTCACACGTCTCCCCGTGCTGGGGACGAGAACCGTCATACGTGACGGCCTTCCGCGCAGAGCTCGAGAGGTCGCCACTCAGAGTGCGGCGCTGGCAAAGTAGCAGGACATGCCCCAGGAAGATGGATACCCCAAACCAAGATGTCTCGCGCAATCGCTCGATGCTTCCTGAAACTGATTCTCCCTCCGTACCGCCGATGCCGCGCTGCCTTCGGCTTGGGCGGAACTGGCAATGTCGTCGGCGAGCGTGCGCTCGGAGATTGGCTCGTCCACACCGCCTGTCAGCGTGTCCTGCCCAGGGCTCAGTTAGGTAACGGGCAACACAGGCGTGCAAGCGCAATGCTACATCTCAACCTCACATGGGCCCTTTCGCATCGGCATGGATTCATCGTCTGTGTGACGAGCGAGCTCGAGTGCAGGGACACGACCGCACGCATGCGAGCGGCCGATCGTGCGTTGGTGAGTGGTTGCGTGCGTACGTGCATGCTTGACGCGCCTCGTGCGTGCGTGCACGTTTAAATGCTAATGCGTACGTTCTGGCGCAATCTTTTTGCTTCAACGAATTTATCAAACGTTTCAGTGAGCGCGTTTCTTTATTTTCGGCGATAAAGGGCTTCATAGGGGGGGAGGGGCCAATATAATGTAACGCCTCCCCCCCCGCCGTGCGCACGGCGGCAGTGTTCCTGAGCGCACTGGGGGGGAGGGGCGTTACGGTATAGGGGGGGAGGGGGGGCCGGGGGCTACAGTGCCCATGATGCCCTCAAGCACCAAAGAAACAGGCTCCAATGCCATTGAAGAGCGGGGAAATCTCGGGTGTGGACTGTGAAGGAGAAGCGCCGCCCTCCGCCGTGTGTGCCCGTGCCGTGCCCGCGTGGCGTGCCGTGCCCGCGTCGCGCGTGCCCCCCGCGCCGCGCCTTGCCCGAGCGCCGTGGCCTCCCGAGGAGTGCGGGGCAGACGTGCCGCCGGGTGGCCCGTGCGCAGCGTGCCGTGCCGTGCCCGCGTGCCGTGGCGCGCCTGCGCGGGTCCTGCTCCCAGCGCACTCCGGGGCGACATCCCGGAAACAGATAATATACTTGAATGAAGCAACGCCACATAATACGCACGTACGTGGATCACTTTCAAACCGGAACTGTGCATTGCTCGTGTCGAGATTCAATGTGTTATGAATTCTTAACCTATAAGGACTGACTGTCTTGTCTACCTTATCTTATTTGGCAATGTCTACAGATCTAATGGCGAGCACCCGGAAAAAGTGTGGAAAGGGTGTCGAAACAGTGTCGGACAGGCGTCTCCCAGGGCCCGGCGCGTGAGAACCCGCAGGTTTCGGTAATCTCTCGGTGCTCGAGATTCTTTGTGGTGGTCAAGGCGAAAGTAAGTTGGAACAGCATAAGACTACTCTCCCCGACGGGGGTCAACCTCGCCTCGTCGCGCCGCGACGGGGGTCGGAGC